TTACTCCTTCTTATCTACTTTTCCTTGTATTTTTTGCCCACTCTTTAGTCAGCTCAGTTCTATCTCCTTGCCTTTTTAGGGGAAGTCTAGGAGCAGAGACTTGTAAGTGGACATGAAAAATGTGCATTCATTTAAGTTTCCAGTCCAACATAAAGGAATGAGCACTTGCTCTTTGGAATTCAAATCTTTTTAGGATATATTATGTTGCACTTCTAAAATAAAGGTGTACAGATCTACCAGACAATTGCAGAAAGGTCACTGATTTTCTGTACCCTTGATAGGACAAAGACAAGATTTTACTCATTCTTGTCCTACTACTTCCTTGTACAGTATGCTGAAAATATTGACTCTCTTTGATTAGTCACTCACACATTCTTCAAGCCTATCTCAGATGCCAAAACCAAAATAATAGGATATATAAGGAGGACAGAAGAGACTCACCTGGCATCAGTTAGCCATGATATGCTTCACAAAAGCTGAAAACAAGAGAAAGAGAAGTGTCACTTACCAATTCCTTTTCATTGAACTCCATAACATCATGGATATCTCAGTTTGGTTGTTATTTAAATTTACCCTGCTTGTTTCTTCTGATGCAATGGAGACCACACCACTTTGTAAATATGACTCCAGACACCAGGTATTAAATTCTTTGTAAGTCCTTAAGATAATGTATACACAGTGCAGTGTAGCCAGCAGTCTAGGTAGCCAGTGGAAATGAACACACACATCAGTCAATCCATAGTTTACTTAAGCCCATACTTCTGGCTGCCATATTGCACTGGCTTTCCAGAGCTATACACTCATGAGAAACTCTGCATCCTCGTCTTGCAAGGCTTTCAAGATTTTATCACCTTTGTACTAAGTCAGGAGTGAACCTCAAGAATCCACAAAAGGTCACCAAATATCATGACTACATCTCTCCAGTGAACTCATATTTACAAAAAACACAAGGTATTTCAAAGTCAAATCAAATTTTTGTTTGAAAAAGTTTTGGGTCCTGTTTTTCTCCATTTAAAAAAGCATTCTTTATATATAAGTTTGAAATTCAAAAGGAAAAGGAAAAATACATTTTGCAGTAAGGAAATAGTTTTTCCCTCCCAATAATCCCCCCATGCTATGAATTTATTTAAATTCAGCATAAGCTCATCAGTCATTTGTGTTAGGTAAATCTACAATTTCTACCAATGAACTACTTGTAAGAAATATTTCCCTGAGCTCAGATCACTGGTATTTTGTAAATACAAGGAGACCACCAACCCAAATATTCATAAAAGGCTCAATGAATATGAAAAACCAGCTAAATCACCAAAATGATACCATGTTCAGTCACCAGTTAACCTTAAGAGGGACTTGGCTGTCTACAAAAGTGTGTGTTGATGATCTCTAATAGAATTTTGTGGTTTTATTGAACAGTTTGAGGCATGTAGGCTTGTGAGATGCAGTAGAGAACCATGGTCCACATACTAATGACCAAATCCTTTTGTTCTGGCTTTCTAAAATAGCAGTGAAATAAAATGAAAGGTCTTTGGAAGATCTTGTAGGATTCTTAGGACACCAAAGAAGATGTTAAGGATAACATTTTTTGCTGAGGTTTTGAAGGAAAACTCATTGATTTTCTGGAAAGAAATCTCAAAAAAGGATGTCTATTTCTTTTTGAGAGGAAAAGGATTTGTGGAAGCAGATAGAAAAAATAATATATATATATATATATTTTTTTTTTTTTTTTTTATTAAAAAAGGCAAGCAAAATAAGAATATACAGAATATACAGCTCCACCTCCTGAAAGGGCCATGACCATTCAGCTGTAAATTCAAGTAAACTTCAATAGACAGAGTATGTCAGATGAAACATAGAATCCAAAATAATCTAAAATTTGGAAAAACACACATCCTGATATTTACAAGTCAAATTTTCCACAGGTTTGAACTTTTTCAGAATAATTTCTACAAAGCCTTCAAGCACACAACCACTGCAAAAATCAGCATGGTCATACCTACCTTCGTAGTTGATACAGCCATTGGCATCTTCCTGACCAGCCATTAGCTTATCTACTTCCTCTTCAGTCAATCTTTCACCTACATTGAAAGCAAAATGCTTGTTTAGTACTTAAAACATTTTTGAAGAATTTACAAAGCACAATTCAAATAATACAGGAATTAAAGAGGCTGAGAGAAAAGAGGAAGAGATTTTCTCTTCAGTTTAATTTGTGGTGCTGACTGCTAGGAAAGCTACTTTTAAACTTGCAAACTGAGAAAATTTGATCTGGAAACCAGAAAGACAGGATAAATATGGAAACCCACATGATATTATGTTCAGATAGTCATTCTTCTAAGAATAAACTTTCTCTAAGTGCCAAATCTTGAAGTCTTTAGTAACTTTTAAGAAAGTCCTCACTAAGTAAACTCTTAGCAGAGTCACCATCTAGTTTGCCCCTCAGTTAGAGGTTCAGGAAGATTCCAAGATCACAGTTAGGATCTCTGATTTGGACCAGTGATCCATTCTATTTAATTTAATTATCTAAATATTAGGTGCCTATTCACCTGTAATTCTTCATTCTGGTTAAGCAGAGATCAGTACAATCCATATCTTTATTCTGATATTAGGCACTGATTTTTGGATGAGGTCAAATGAGTCTGAAGAATGTAAGGGAGAAATTTGAGGGGAATTTCATAAAATCACAAAATCATTTAGGTTGGAAAAGACTATTAAGATCATTGAGTCCAACCATTAACTTAACATTGTCAACTCCACCACTAAACAATGTCCCTCAGTACCTCATCTACACATCTTTTAAATCCTTCCAGGGATGGTGACTCAATCACTTCACTGGGCAGCCTGTTCCAGTGCTTGATAATGCTTTTGGTGAAGAAATTTTCGTAATATCCAATCTAAACTTCCCCTGGTGCAACTTGAGGCCATTTCCTCTTGTCCTGTCACTTGTTCCTTGACTGAAAAGACCCACTCCCACCTCTCTCCACCCTCCTTTCAGGAACTTGCAGAGAGCCAGAAGGTCTCCCCTCAGCCTCCTTTTCTCCAGGCTCAACACCCCCAGTTCCCTCAGCCACAAGGGAACTCAGCACACTTGTGCTCCAGACCCTTCCCCAGCTCCGTTGCCCTTCTCTGGACACACTCCAGCACCTCCATGTCCTTCTTGGAGTCAGAGGCCCAACACTGAACCCAGCACTTGAGCTATGACTTCACTAGTGCCCAGTCCAGGGGGACCATCACTACCCTGATCCTTCTTGCCACATTACTTCTGATACAAGCCAGGATGTTGGCCTTCTTCACCACCTGAAATCTTAGAAATTAAAATAAAATAAAATGCATTGGGTGTGACCTGTTGCTCATGTTTTGTTTTTTTTTTTACTTTTCCATCACTGAGTTCTGGCACAGAGGAACAAATCCTCAGCTGATGTGAATCTGTGATAATTCAACCGATATGTTGAAAATTGAATAGAGAAGTATGCTAGTTTACAGAATATTTGGCTGTGTCTAAGATTTGACCCATATGTAGAGATGCTATTCTAAACAGAACTATTAATTCTTCAGACTGAGATACTTCCTATCGGTGCTTAAAAATCAGACATTGCCACATTGTTCTGGGTTGCTGGAAATAGAAGAGTAAGTACAAAATCATTTATTTTAGTAGGGTGGAACGCACAAAGTTGCCCACAGTGGTTTCTTTGTCCCAGGTAAGATTAGATAGGGCAGCAATCCTGACTCTGTGGGGGATTTTTTTGTCATCACTGAATTTGGTCCTCAAACTGATTTGATAACATCAGTAATAAAAAGGATTTATTTATTTTCTTATTCCTCGTGTCATTAGTAGAGATGGATGGGTCATGTAATGAAAACCCCTGTGTATAAAAGGTTTGTCTTTTTTAATAGCTATCCTAGGTCAAAATCCATCATTAGAATCCTTTGGTCTAAATCAAATCCCTTTTGTATAGGCTCATCTCTTTTTTTAAAAACAGTGGACAAACATTAGTAGAAAAGATTCATCTTGAGAAATGCTTACTGGATTCAGATGACAACATGTCAGTGCCTTCTAATCCAAATTGGAAACCTGTCATTAAGTTACAGCCAAATTTTCTGTTCTGCACTCATTCTGTTGTCATCGCTCTCTGTGAAAAGCTGAGCTTCTGAAGTCAAAATTTGAGAGGATGGAGAAATATTGATCCCTCCTTTAAAACATGGGCTTTGTATTTCACAGACAGTTCTGTTAAACAAATGACTGATAAAAAAGTGCTTAAACTTAAAACTTTTCTTGAAAGTGCAGAAAAAATGGAGACCAATAGTAAAGGAATAGATGGGATCTTCAATGTTGAAATAATTCTGTGGTGATAGAAATATATTTATTGGAGAAATAAAACACTAGAACAAGGAAGGAAAGAAGGAAGGGAAGGAGGGAGGGAGGGAGGGAGGGAGGAAGGAAGGAAGGAAGGAAGGAAGGAAGGAAGGAAGGAAGGAAGGAAGGAAGAGGGAAAGACATATTTGAGCTGTAGGTCAGTGATTTTTAGCTTCATTACTTAAGAACCTTTTTAGTCTTTATAACTGAGGACAATGTAATGGTTGAAGTCTTGCCCTGTTACCCATAATGATACAGGCTGTATGGGAAAGACCTCAGTGATGAAACTTCATTAGGAAAGGTTCACCTTACCCAGGGTAGCCAAAACATGGCGAAGTTCAGCCCCCATCACAGTTCCATTTCCCTCCTTGTCAAACACACGCAGACCCTCCACAAAGTCTTCATAGGTGCCTGTGTCTTTTGTCTTGGCAATATGTTGTAGCATGGGCAGGAAGGTCTCAAAGTCAATCATCTTGGAGTTCATGTCTATAAAGACACAGGTGGAAACAAAAGTTTTGGTGGATTCTGGGAGAGTTAAGGGCTAACCATGGGGTATCCACCATGGGTAGGTGATGAAGGTAGAAGAACAATGGTAATAAATGCCAACTAAAGAGAAGAGAAGAGCATAGAAATATCGTAAGTACAGATGGAAGAATGGATAGTCAGAGTGGGAAAGAGGTCTGACAAAACCAGATATATGAGTATTTAATAGATAACTAGATAGATAGATAGATAGACAGGTAGATAGACAGATAGATAGATATCTCCTAATATCCAACATACACCAACATAAAGGAAAAAAAATACTGTTAGACTCCCAAGGCTGTTTCATGCAACATAAAAGTATGAAACTAAGCAAAAGACAGTAAGAGAAGCTCATTACCAACACCAAATCAGCTTTATTTTGCAGCCCTATAATGCAGAGATGTTTAAGACCATACCCTGAAAGGAACTTCAGAGTGAATAGGCAGGATCAGAGTTGTGTATCCCATTTTCCTGATTCTTTACCTTTCAAGAGCATCAGAGGGCATTTTTTTCCCATGTGACTCCTTCTCCTACCTACCACTGTGTCATTGCCGTATCCTGACAGATCATAATTGTTGAATGAAAGCTTAATTGTCAGTTCCACCTCAGTGGAAGATAAGGACAGAGAAGTCATCTAGAAAATGCCTGAATGTAAATAAGGACTGAGAGATATTTCCTTTGTTCTGAAGTGCTATCCAATGTATGGTGAATGTTGAAGGGAGTTGTTACTGCAATCATTACAGACCTTGTAACATACACTTTTGTAGGACAAGCTGTGTCCACACTGTCTATTCCTTTGTTTCTTTGATCTTCAAAACATCTGTGTTTTTATAAAACACATGTGAATGCCTGTCATTGAAGCAATTTTTAAAGGCAAAAGCTTGTCATTGTAAAACTTATTGACTCATAGGACCTTTAAATTAATTCATTCTCCTAAATTTGAGACAGTTATATTGACTGCAACATCACTTTTTTCCTCCTTTGCTTTACTGCTAGTGATTTGCAGAAGCTGCCCCATATCCTTCGTTATTTCACAGTTAAGCTTTCTATCAGGAAATGGAGACCTCATCTGCTTCACAAACAATTATTGGAGTGATCTTTTTCAAAACAAACACAGAGAAGGACACCAACCTTCTTGTTTGGGTCTGCCAAGGACTTTCATGACCTCAGCCTGGGTTGGATTCTGCCCCAAAGCTCTCAAGACATCTCCACATTGTGCGTATGTGATTTTCATCTCAGATTTAGGAGTCCGGTCGAAGAGTGAGAACGCTTCCTTAAATTCTGGAAGACAAAAAGATAACAAGAAATGCTTGCATACTCCCTTAGATAAAGTCAAAATGAGCTTAGAACTTCCTCCTAACTAACTCTGTCTGACCCTTTTATTTTGCAGTTTTGGAACAAATTTGATGAGATTTATTGTTGCAGTTATCTGCAATGTTTGTGTTCCTCCTCCCCTGTATTTCCTGGTTCAATCAATGAATGGACTCAGAGAGGTCAAATGCTCTTCTCATGGTATTTCTGTCTCAACTAATATAAGGAAATGTAGAAAATGTATAGGAATGTTTGGCCTTGAGAACATTCCAACTCACCAGGAACACCCAGGATGGCACAGAATTCAATAGTAGTTCTGCTCATTAGCTAACTGGATACTGTATTCTGCACTATACATGTAGAAAGCACTGACATAGCTCATTGTGATAAAAGACCACCTCTATTAGCAGGTAACAAGATATACCATGATAACCTACTGGAATTATTGCACAACAGTCTGTTGGTGGGGGAGAATATGTATGGAAAACCTTATAACTGATCAATTGTTATATTTATCAGTGTCAAGGAGGAAATCTAGAAGAATCCTCTCATTTTTCTTTTTTTTTTTAACACCCAGTCCAATTTTTGGAGAAGTAAGGTTTGGTAAGCCACCAGCTACCAACGCCAGGCCAGATCTTATGTGTGGGGATCAAATCATTCCCTCCAGTAGTTTCACATCTGCTTCCTTTCACTTGTGAACATATCCTCATGTTTTCTCTTTACTTCTGTCTGAAAAGGGAGCCCCTTACCACAGCAATCATTAATACTAGACAAGAGTGTTACCATGTGAGAAGGTCCCTGTTCTACTACTAATTAACAGTCAGTGCAGGATCCCAGGGGAGACTTCCTCAGACACTAATTACTCAGGTTCACCTCTCCCTGATGGAATTGCAGACATTGCAGAGGCAGAGGAGCATCTCAGGGTGCAAGTAACAGTAATAGCTGTTACTCTTTAATGAATTTCATAGTGCATGGCCTATGAGTGATCACAAATATCCCTTTGGCTTTGAAGTTGTGAATCCCTGAATCTGCCCCTTGTCCTTCTGTTACTCTTCCATATACATTTCCCTCCTACTCTCCAAACACAATAAGGCTATCTTTTTTTCCCCCCCTAGATCCTGACTCACTCAAGCATTCAGCCATGCACTCTGCATGCCAGATTTTCTCCATCTTTCCCTTCTTAATTCCTTCTCCTACTCATTATTCCCCCTTCCTCTGTTTTCTTTCTTCCTCTTTGCTTCTTTCCCTCTCTCCTTTCTTCTAATGTTGCTGGCTTTTCCTCTCCTTCTTTCTCCCTCCCTCTTCATTTTTATTATTCCACTCATATCTTATTCATCCAACACTTTCAAACAGTGATGCATTTTTCTCATTTTTGGATTAATTAATGCTCTCCTCGTTTTCTTATTTGCATTCTCCTCTTTGTTCTCTCGTTCTTTCTCTCCCTGCCTCTCTCTCTCTCCTAGAACTTTGCCTCCCGTCACCAGCTAGAGCTCAGGTCCCATTGGCAGCTCTCATTCCAGCAGAGGGCAATAGTGGATTTTTCTGGGCTCCTTGTTGATAGTGGAAGGGGGCCAGAACCCCACTCCCAGCTTTGTCCTTTCCTGGGGGTCTCAGCAACTGAGGTAGATCAGAAACACACCTGCTTTCCTGAGCTACTTCTCCACCTGCTGTTTACCTGCTCCCTGAGACCAATTCCCTGAGTATCTTTTGTACCACCTCCTAAAGGTTCATAATTCATCACAGTTACTGACAGTTCACATTTCTCTTTCTTTTTTTTCCTTTTTTTAAATATAAAATCAAATGTAACTGCCTCTCACCAAAGCATTAGCCTGTGGGTTTAGAAACTCCATTTTGTCAATATACAGAAGCAGACCTTTTTTTATTTGCATTTGGGTTTGCTGGCTCAATGCAAGTTTCCATCAAAGCAATGAAACCAACGTGGCTATGGTCTCCTTTGTCCTCCTTGTTAGCCACTAAACCACTGGCAGGAGCGGTGTATATTTTCAAATGCCTAATTGCTAACTACCTTCTCATCTTGAATAGCTCATATTCTTCTCTTTTCAGCAATTTAAGGGTCTGAAGAAACCAGGAATCCAGTTTCATAAACATACATTGCCACAACCAATGAATTTCACTTGCAGTTGGGGCAGGAGGACACATAAAGATGAGTGTGTTGCGCATAGCTTCACCAACAGACCATTCTTCTCCTTCTTATCCTTGTAGGGAAGTAAGTCTGTTTCCTTAGCAAGAGGAAGAGGTTCAGAGTATCCTAGGTAGGGTTGGAAAAGACCTTGAGACGCTGCATTATTTGTTTCTCCTCTACCACCTCAACTCATAATCAGCTGCCAGAAAACCCATTAGATCAACGGTGATAGACTAATGGCCACTAATATCTAACACATAGGATGGACTTCCTTTTGATCTAATTTCAGATGAAAAATAGGGAAGCTTCTAATCTCACTGAGACACCTAGGTCCTCATCTGGTCAACAGAGAAAGACAGATAGAGAGGTGATTATTAGACATTAGAGGTGTATTTTTCTTTAAAAAAAAAAAACCCACATATAAAGGTATGACAGGTGACCTTGACCTCCTGATGACTTCCTGAAAGAGGAGATTTGACAACATAACAGGTCTAGCGTGGACCTGAAAAAAAACCCCAGAACAAAACAAGTGTAATTGAAGCCCAGAAGAAAGGGAGAGTTGGCAATCTTGGAAGCTTGAGGGAGTGAGGAGAGAATGGGAAGGAGAAAAATTATACATATAAAAAAAAAATTGATCTAGAGCTCCTGTGAGTCCCAACTCTCAAGTTATGCCAACAACCAGTATAAAAGCTATAAATCATGGCAAGTGGTGTTTGCTTTCTAACCTGTGTTTTTAATAGAAAGTAAAATAGTCTCAAGCACTGAAATACTGATTGTCCAGTTTCTTAAACAGGTGGCACAGTTCTTAGCAAGGTTTTGACATGTGCAAACTGGTATTGAGGACAGTACATACCAGGGACAATCCAGGGACAATGTAGACCATGCTGCAGATATAATTGTACATGTGAAGAATCTAAGCTCTACCTAGGAGTAAATATCTATCTAGCAACTATCAATCTATCTGCTTACTCACCTATGAATCTAAGAACCTTCTGATGGTCATAGGTTCCACCAAGTTCTGCCAAGTGTTTAAAAACCAAAGCAAAATTCTGCCAGAAGTTTGACTCCATCTATCAATTATCAGTTTAAGTAAAAGGCAGGCTGGTAGTTGAGGAAAAAAGGGACAGCTGCAGTGGCAGTGTTGTTATGGATGTCATGCATGAGGTTTCAGTATCAGTTTCTTGGGCTGGGACAAGGGGTTCAGAAACTAATGCTGATGCTTCACTTTGAAAGAGAAAAAAAACACCATCACTGTCATTATCTGCTGGTTTCTGGAGAGTTGTCACAAAACTGTAACGCATTAAATTCTGATGGCATACAGGGAAAAGTTCTCAAAAGCAGAGTTTTGAGACTTTCTTTTGAAAGGATTGATATTATGTTAATGGATATTCTTACAGAAAGACCAGATATTGGGATAGAGGTTTTGACAGTGAGTGTTTTGTTTTGTTTGGTTTTTTTTCTTTTTTGGTTTTGCCTCATTGTCAGAGAAGCTGATGTTTTCTTTATTGAAATAAGTACCTAATCTGCATGGTCCATGACTTTGCCCCTTTTCTCCTGACCAACTCAACAGAGGATTTGAAGGAGGAACAGAGCAAGAGCAATGCCATGAATTAAAACATAGGAGCCAACTCTCTTCTCAAGGGAGCTCCAATACCACACCTATGTCCACCTCAGGACTCGCCAGCACCTCCTAGTGATTGTGCACAGAAGAGAAACACATCTTCCTCACCTTCAATCTGATCAGGGGTGAATTCAACCTGGAAGAGATGAAGAACAAAAGTCAGATAAAAACAGAAAACTGAGGCAATTAAGAGCTCTGGGGTAGTCTCTGTCTTATGGTTCTGGGTGTTCATTAGGTCCATGAAAGCACCTGACTCATAACGCCAAGAAAATACTTTTATAGAGCCTGTAGATTTTTCTTCTTTTCTTCTCCACTTTGCCTATTCATCAGCCCCACCTTTAGGACCTCTGCCCCCACAGCAAGGCTGCATATACCCTTTGTCCATTCTTCTGCTGTCTTGTTTTCCTTTTCCCTTATCCCAAGTGACTCTACACCTCTGATATCCTCTCCAGAGATGGTTATGGCAAATCCCAGGCTACTTCACTGAAAGGTTTTTTTCTATAGAGAGATTGGGATCTACTATCCATAGTCTTTTCCAGCAGAAGAACTAGGGGTTATCAAATGAAGCTGGCATGAATCAAACTCAAAACAAAGTGAAGGAAGTAGGTTTTTTGCTCTTACAGCTGAACTGTGGAAAGCTGGTGATGGGATACTGTGGATGTTCACAGTCTACATCTGTGTAAAGGATCACAGGACCACTTCCTGGAAAAGAAATCCATTTCTTTACAGTACGATCTGTATAGAAATACTTAAGTTAGGAAGTATCTACCTGAGGTTTAGGAGAGTGTGTCAGGGAAATTTTTTCCCTGTTCTTGTACCTTTTCCTAAAGCATCCTCTAATAACCACTGCTGTACTACATTGGACAACTCTCTGGACCTTGCTCTGACTCTACCATCTGTCTCTTGTTTTCTCATCACTTCATATTTCCTCCTGTTTCTTAAATTTTAGAGTTTTCCCCCTCCCTATTTTTATATTACACCTTCTCCCCTCCCCAACATATGTACAACTCCACACATTTTAGGTCGGAGTTTCCATATGAAGCTGAACACCTCTCATTGCTTAGTATCATCTTTTGTTCCTTGGTAGCAAAGGAGCCAAATGGAACAAAGGCATAGCGAGAACCTGAAACCCAAACTCTCTGTTTCCTTGTTTCAAGGTGAAATGCAGCATGACTCGTCCTTTCATCATCTACTTGGGATTTTCATAATATTAAAGAGTGGAGATGTTGTAACTCCCCAGCTCTCCAACAAGGATGGCTGTGACATGGCAGAGCATGATGACACCAACCTCTTTATTCCACCCAGGGCTCAGTGGACAGCTCCCAGATGCTTTTCTGTCTCCAGATACCCTGAGCCCACAAGAAGTTCAAGCATTCATAGGACACAAATGAGGGTTTATAGGGCAGACAGACAGCCCGAAACTCATATTTCCTACCAGTGTCCTGCCTATCTCTCCCTATCATAGTGTTTCTGAGAATCTTCTGCCTTAGAAGAAGGAAGAACCAGAAAACATCTTGGTGGACTTCAAAGGCAAGAATCAACACTATTCCTGCAATTGCTGAAAATCAGACCACTATTTTTGTGGTTGCCTTGTTCATTCCTTATCTGAAATAGCTCATTCAGGGAATTACCACTGTGTTTGCAATTCTTAGTCATGACTTACCTTGAATGAAATCCAATTAATAAAATAGTTACCTAAGTAGCAGCCAGGAGGTTGTCTGGAAGCAAACATTTAAACAATGCAAGTAAGGAACCCCCAAAAGAATAACAATGCTCTTCCCTTTCCTAACACATGGAGGGGTTCATGCATATTTTTGTCATTAAGATTATGATCATCTAGATTGGGTCCTATCCCAAATCCACATACCTTAGTTTAATTAGAAATAAATACCCACTGGGGAACACATTTCTACAGGTGCATTGTCAGCAGCAGCAACCTTATGCCCAGTGTGTCTAATTATATCAAGCTTTGAGAATTTAACTGAAGCTAATTGCATATTAACTTTATTCAGGCATCAATGTGGATGAAATAAGGCCAGAGCTGTTGGCAACTCGTATTTAAATCATTATGATGGACTGTTCTTGGGGAAGAATTCACCTCTGCTACACTTAGATGTAGACATTTAGATGTGTTAGTGACCCCACATTTGTTTTAGAAGAGAAGAGAACCGGCACTTCTTGGGTGTACTTTGACTTGGTTTAGGTCTATACTTGAAGAGAAGATGAGTTATGATCTCCTTTTCACTGAGTGGATCAATCAGTTCTACAATGATGATAAAAAGATTGTGGGCAACCAGCACAGATGTTGATGTCCTTTTTCTGATCTGATGAGTCCCACCCAGAAAGTGCGAGCTAGCCCTTTGGTAGACTGTAGATCAGGAGAAACCGTGCCAGAGTGAAAAAAGGTTGGTTGCAAATTCCCACAGCTGGATCAAAGGAAAGATCTGAGCTGAAGGGCTGAATGTGCCTCACCTCTAATTGTGGCCCCTATAAAAACACCACCCAGAGCTGGAGGACCATGTATGAGAGCTGGCAAGGCAGATGGTTTGACCAGACCTACCACCCAGGCATGGCTTCCTCTCAGGAAAGCTGCAGAGATGTGTGGGTGGTGGCTGTAGCTATTTTCTCCCCTCTCCACACATACTTGAAAGGTGAGTCATCATTTCCCCAGCCACAATCATTGCAGATGGATGGAACAAATTCTGGGCTATGTTTAGACTGAAGATGTCTGGGGTTTTGTTCCCCCCCCCCATTTCCCTCAGAAGTGTAAAGCACACAAAACGAAAGCCATCTCCAAGTACCAAGAGCAAAGGTGGAGCTGCCCATGAGGACAGCTGGGTCACTGCCTCAGAGACCCCATGCAGGAGGGATTCAGAAGACAGGCTGTAAAAATGGAGTCAGGCTAAGGCAAAAAGTGGGCAGAGTCCCAACGCATTGCAGCCACAGGCCATGACCCATATCCATGCTTCGAGGCAGCTCTGCTTCTGGTGCTATAATGCAATGGACATCCAAGAGGGTGAAAGCTCCCAGTGGTAGCTTTGATGTCCAGACCCACCCCTGTCCCCTGGCACTTATACCACTGCTCACCAGCATCACCCCATACTTCACTGAGCTCAGTCAGCAGAGCAGCCCTCATCATCCAAAACGGAGGTTTGCAAAACCTACACACAGGCTTAATATGAATTTGGTTTCCCAGATAAGACTTCGGATTCTCCAGTTCCTTGGCAGTAGACTAGGGTGATTTCCCTCTGGGTTTTGTTTTCTTGTTTAAAATATAGAATCGTAGAATAGTTTGGGTTGGAAGGGACCTTAAATATCATCTAGTTTCAACTCCCCTGCTGTGGACAGGGTTGACAACCACTAGATCAGGCTGCCCAAGGTCCCATCCAACCTGGCCTTGACTGTCTCCAGGGATGGGGCATCTGCAACTCCTCTGGGCAACCTGTGCCAATGTCTCACCACCCTCTGGGTGAAAAATTTCCTCCTAATATCTAACCTAAATCTCCTCTCTCTCAGTTTAAAACCATTTCCCCTTGTCCTATCAATATCCAGCCATGTCAAAAGTCACTCTCTCTCCTGTTTAGAAGCTTCCTTCAAGTACTGGAAGGCCACAATGTGGTCTCCACCAACCCTTCCCTTCTCCAAACTAAACAAGCCCAGCTCCCTCAACCTTTCTTCGTAAGAGAGGTGTTCCAGCCCTCTGATCATTAAATATACTGGCATTTCGGAAGAATTGCATTTCCCCTGACATTTTTTATGTTGGCAAATGAAGTTTTAAAGCACAGACTTTCCTATGAGTGCCAAACATCCACAGCACCAAGGCTCACAGTGGTGGTATTTGGTACAAATCCATATGAGAGATGCAGCTGCTGACTGCCTTGACATGTGGACTGTGCTGCATGTTCTTTGAAGACACCAGACATCTGAATTAAAATATTTCCATAACAAATAAGAAGTGTTATGCTGGATTTTTTGCTGTTTTAGCAAACTTGGCTTTAAGGGATCATCACCTGGTCACCAGTGACATCAGCTATAGCTCTAATGCTACTGTCATCTTTGCCTAAACAATGACATTAAGTTGATTTTGTCCCAGAGACACCAGGAGGGTTGCATGCACCCCTTGGCACTGTTAACATCATTCACACCTTCATATTGCAGGGAATTTTTTTAGAAACCATAGTATCTCAATCCAGCACATAACTCTGTGCCTGATAAGGCAGAAATAACAAAGTCTGAAATAAGTCCTATTAATAAAACTGTTGCTAACCAGCAGTCAAAAGGTTATCTGGGGAGGAAAGCATGTAGACAATGCAAGAAAGGGGCCTTTCCAAAAAAGAAACAATATTCTTCTTGTTTCGTAGTGTCCTGAGGAATCCTAATACAAAGAGCAAGGTTTTCACTTAACCATGACAGGGCTCGTTTTGGAGAAGGGGGTTTTGGATTTTTCTTGTTGTTGGTTTGTTTTTTTTTTTTATATTTTATTTTATTGTGCTCTTTGGAGACCAATTTACAAGGCAGAAATGCAGCAGATAGAGAGGCCTAGAAGGCCATCAAGATCATTATCATTGTGTTGAGCTTACATTTGTATTTCACAAGCATTTGGTTTTTTTTTCCACTAAGGCCTTTTTAAACCTATTAATACACATCATCCCTTCCTCATCACTTTCTGTGCAGAGTAATGATGATGCAAATAAACTCCTCTGCTGCCCATGAGCAAATCTTGATGCATGGTCAAGTCTGATAGAGCTCCATCTCTTTCTGTTGGTTGATAGTCACTCCTGATATCTCATCTCCTCTGTCTTCTGAAACTCTTTGGGTATATCTACATTTAGCTCCCAGGGTTGCCCTATGACTTTCCTCATTGTTTCTACTCAGCTCATGGTCTGATGGGAAGGAAGGCCCAGTACAGTGTACAGACGCTTGATTAGTACATGAGCTGTGACACATGACAGTACAAGATGCTCCACCTGGTCTTCAGGGGGAACAGCAGAAATATAATGAACATTTTGCAGAATAGAAACCCATCCTTAAAACTCTATTGATACTCCACGTTTTCGGTTTTATGTTTGGTCCTCAATGTTTTTAGAAGAAAATTTTTTTTCAAGTCAGTCTGAAATGAGAGGTCATTTT